GTCATCGGAGCTCTGACTGCCAAACTTCAGAGAGGTCTGGACGTCCTGTCTGAATATTTTAACAGCTGGAAGATCCGTATCAACGCGGCAAAAACCCAGTTCATCATCTTTCTACAATCTTAATTTCCTAGACTTGTTCCGTCGGAGAATAATAACATCTGCCTGAACGGCACAGTGGTGGAATGGCTGAAAGAGGTAGTCTACTTAACACTAGACAGCAAGCTGATTTTCAAAGAGCACGTTGGTAAAACGAAAACCAAGTATAACATCCTGATACGATCACTGTATCCACTCATGCACAGGAGGTCTACTCTATTCCTAAAAAATAGGCTTGCTGTCTACAAATAAATCATCCTTCCCGTAATCGAGTACGGTACCCCAATCTGGGAGAGTTGCGCCAAATGTCATCACCTCAAACTCCAAAGGATTCAGATTAAGATCCTTAGGATGATCCTAAACAGTCCCCCACGAACCAGTAATTCTGAGATCCACCTGCTGGCTGGAATTCAGACATCAGAAGAACGAAGAGTTTTTATCCTGGAAAGGTTCAGAGACACCTGTCTGAGATCAACTCATCAGATCATACGTGATCTAGCACGTTAGGCTAAGGTACACTGATAAAATTTCAAAGATTGTTTTTATGTGTCCCACACATGAACTTTTGCAAAGTGATCAACAAATGATATCAATGTGTCGGACACATACTTAATATGTGTACGTATAATAGCCATGTGTAACCACATATACTATTCATTTGACACATCAATTTCACATTTCTGGGTGGATTCTGTTTATGTGTGGTCACATGAAAATCATGTGGAATTTTACACGGAAATTCTACTGTAAAAATGTGTGGAATTCTATTGGTGTATACTTGTAGTTAGGTGGGTTATAACTTTTGACGTTGGATAACGTCTTTCGGCAACATACGGGGGTGCAAAATTGAAAACAGTCATTTTGGATGCGTTACGAAAAATTAAAAGATTTTGAACGATAATAACTCAACCGTCTCTCGATAGATTTACGAGATAATGACATCAATCGATTGGAAATATTTCTAGCAATTTGCTGAATGTTTCAAAACTATTGATTTCATTCTGTAAACTATTGAAAAATGGTTAAAAGTAAACCATTGTCTAAAGATGGTGAAAATCGATTGATTTTTTTTTTATATTCTTACTTTCTCCAACCGAGACATCAGATGCGAGTATCTGACACCTCTGATATTTTCTGTTCTACTATATAAGCGTCCAACAAGGTCGCCCGTTCCATCATTGTCTATCCGATCGTCGACCCAGCAGCAGAGCAGCAGTACCAGAGCAGCGGAAGCAGAGCAACGGCAGCAGAGCAACGGCAGCAGAGCAGCGGCAGCAGAGCAGCGGCAGCAGAGCAGCGGCAGCAGAGCAGCGGCAGCAGAGCAGCGGCAGCAGAGCAGCGGCAGCAGAGCAGCGGCAGCAGAGCAGCGGCAGCAGAGCAGCGGCAGCAGAGCAGCGGCAGCAGAGCAGCGGCTGCAGAGCAGCGGCAGCAGAGCAGCGGCAGCAGAGCAGCGGCAGCAGAGCAGCGGCAGCAGAGCAGCGGCAGCAGAGCAGCGGCAGCAGAGCCTGGGGGCGAAAGGGCAACTACGCCGAGTGCGTGGGTGCCAGTGCTCCGGTATACTGGGCCGCCGTCATGGAATGCCCAGCTGCTGCAATTCTCAGTCAGTCGTATTCACCGTCTGCTCCGCAAGGGCAACTACGCCGAGCGCGTTGGAAAAATGGCCCTTTTCAGGGCCACAACATTATCAAGAAAGAGTTTAACGTACGTATGCGAGTATCTGACACCTCTGATATTTTCTGTTCTACTATATAAGCGTCCAACAAGGTCACCCGTTCAATCATTGTCAACAACATCAGGGCCACCAAACTTTCGCAAAAGAGTTATTAAGGAATATTCCTAAAATATAATAAACACAATTAAGTACAACACATAACAGACGTTATCCAACGCCAACCCTGCGGTCGTATCTAGTATTCAACCCTTCCAACTTTTTTCAATTTAAAATGAGGTTCATTTCAATGAATATTAAAAATAAGTTCTTATAAGAATTGTAATGTAAATTCGAAGGAAATTCTTAGAAATTTTAAGATTATATCAAGTGACCTCTAGAGAAAGTTTTAAGGTTCTCACAAGAAATACCAAGGGAATCTAATTTTGAGGAAACAATTCTAAATGAATTCTGAATTGATTTTTATGATAATTCCGAGTTTAAATCCATGAGCATCTCGAGAAGAATTTAATGAAGTGCTTCAAGATAATTATGAGCAGAAGTGTATGACAATTCTGAGGAGAATTGAATGAAAATTATGAGGAATATTCAGACTAATACTAGGAGGAAGGAAGGAGTATGAAAGGAAGTTTCAGTAAGTTTTTTCGAAACGAATCTTAGGATGAATTCTTCGATTTTTTTTCTTGGAATTCTGAAATGTTGTATAGTCATTTTCAAGGGTCTCTCGGAAAAAATCTCAAAATAATTTTAGAGAAACTCTGAAAATAACTCTGTGATAGGAAATGATTCTAAAGGAAATTTGAGAACAATTCTAGACCAACTATTGAAATAGGCGGAACAACCAAACGTAAACAATGGCTTTAAACACAAAATTCTCAAGAATCAAAACACTCCCACGCAAACTAACTATGCCATTCGAAAAAGGGAGTTTGTTCTATCAGATGACGCTGTTAGATTGCTTAGATGTGCTTTGATTCTCGAGGAATTTGCCTTTAAAGCCATTGTTTACGTTTGGTTGTTCCGCCTAATTCAATTGTTGGTCTAGAATTCATAAAAAATCCTTTGAAGATCTTTGAACGAACCTTTTTCAATGAAGTTAAAACATCGAAAAATCTCAATGACTTCTTGATAAGAAAGTAACGATTTTTTTTCCAAAAAATTTGGTATTTGTGAAATATACATTCAAATAAAGCATATAACCGGATGCGATGAAGCCGAAGAGATCACTCGGCTAAATAGGTTATAATTTAGAAAGCATAAATTTCCCTGGCTCAAAACAACCGGGAAAATCACCAAAATTCTGGGAAAACCCCCGGAAACTACAAATTGGGATATGCTGGTCACTATGATTATGACTAATGCAAATTTGGTTTTTGTTTTATGGCACCCAAAATTTAAAAATTAGCTTTTTTTTAAAACGTTTTCCACTCTACGTTGTTAATCTACTTAATGTCATTAGACTTTCTGAAGTTTCTTATTTAAGTTCATTTGATGATTATGATATCTAATAAGTCTAATTTAATAAATTATTAAAAGCTCTAATGCACCTAATCAATCATAACCCATACTTTATTAAGTACCTGCACTTGTGCTTGTAATCTAAAATTAAACGTGTTTCAAGTACTTTTGATTTTGGCCTATACCTATTTATTATATCTTAGTTCGACCCAGGTAACACCTTCATGTGACTAAAATGCCTCATTTAGAAGTTAGTTTTCTAGCTGATTTTTCAATTATATAGGGTATATGCTCCAACTATGCTCACACGCTTCCACTATGTCGCACCACAAAAATACATATGGGTATGTCACAATAGAAGCACACCACAGTGGAAATCCCGAGCCATAGTTCAAACACTTATCCCAAATCAAAATGAAGCACATATAAGAGTAGTTACAATTCCATGTACAAAAATGGTGTTTAACATTGTTTCCTGACTAATACTTCAATGAAAACAACAATGAAAGCTTGTCAAGCAAATAGCAGGATCACTGTTGGGCACTTACTGAAATGCTTCAATAGAACAATTCCCTTGCAAACCTAAATAAGAGTGATTTGCGGCAAAACCCGCCAGTATCGCACCCAACGTCAGTGCCTATACGTAAGCGTACTACAACGCGGCTCTCAATCAAAGGAGTAACAACTGTGACTGCTAGACTAGATCTTTGGTTCTCTCATGCAGTGGTTTATCAGAGAGGGGAAGCTTAGTATTCCCCATTGCCTGCCCATGACGCCATTCTATCGCGGCATGAGCCAGCAACGCCGGACATAAACCAACCGTCTCCAACACTTCATTAGAAAGCATGAAGTTAAGCCCGCCCACCAACAGCAAGGTGCAAAAACTAGCCAAGGGGAGGGAATCTTTTTAACACAAATTTGTTACTAAGACTAAGCTGTTACTTGATGTGATTTTTTAAAGGTGAATTATTTAATCTTGAAATTATTAGCCGTAAAAAAGTGACTTTAGTAACTAAATTTTAAGAAATAATGACTTTAGTGACTTTTAGGTGAATAAAGTGACTTTTTAGTGACTGACTTGAAAATAGTGACAAAGTCACTAAAAAGTGACCTGCTACCAGCCCTGCTACTACTAAGAAGTTCGTACAATTTAAATGTTTACGAACTTTACCACTTTTAAGAATTCCGAAAAGGTCGGTGCCTGTCGTACGTATTTTCTTACTAAAAATGCTTACACTAAAAGTTACAACTCATTGAAAAACGATGTTACGTACTTTTTTCCGGTACAAGTGCTTTACATGTTAATATACAAAATACAACAAATAGTATTAATCTATTGATTGAAACGTGAAAAATATTGTGTGACCGAAAATAATGGTAACGGTGAACGATTCTCCGAAAATCCGTGTTTTCCCAAAAAGACATCATCAATTTTCTTCGCTGTTAAAAATACATTTCCTAACCCACAAACATTCAACATCCTTTGATGTATGCGTGCTACGCTAGAATGGTTCACTTTTTTACTTTTCCAAGCTTTGTATAGTTTACATGCTGAATGCTCGCGGGTTTCAATAGCAAATTATGCGTTTGTTTCATTAAAATTCTGAACCTAATTGGATGGATTAGTGCAGCAAAAGTATGGACTGAAGCTACAATTTGTTGTTAATTCATTTAAAGTAAATTCCGGTTGCCTCGAAACAGATGCTTCGATAAGGTATATGTGCGAGATCCATGCTATATTTATTCAGTTCACAGACGCTTCGTATAATCAGCTTACCTGTAGATAGGCGAACCCTTATCGTCCCGGTACCAGAGGACCAGGACCACACTGTCTGCCTGCTCGTGTGTACTGATGTTGCAAGGCAGATAGATTGTCTCTCCGACCAGCGCTTCCATGCTGACGAGGGGTACTGAAAAGCAAATGCAAAGTAGAAGAAACAAATGGTTAGTGAGAAATTCGAGGAAATAGAATATTGAGAGGATGAATCCATTGTTTTTATTTGTTTGTTATGTATTTGGTGTTGGTTCGTTCGTTCTTTTTATGAATCGGAGCTGTTTGATGTATTGTAAAACAAAAGCTCGACGAGTAAAAGTAAGGTATTAAATGTCAGCTTTTGTGTGCACAGGATTTGAATTTCAGGCAGCATGTACGCTTCTGTCTCTGCCGGGCCACACAGTACACCATATTTTCGAAATGGCTGATGTGCATACACGGCGAATGAGAACGACCCAAATTTGAGATTAATTCACTCATAAATCCTGTATGGAGGAACTCAGCGATGGATTCACTCAGTCTACTGGTTCTACTCCTAGACCGGCAGAATTTTGAGGGTTTCCACAGGAAACCATGAGGAAAATTTACTCATCGCTGAGTTCCTGCACTTTTGACGATTATGAGTGAACTAAACTCAAATTTGGGTCGTTCTCATTTGCCGTACAGGATTGGATGAAAAATTCATTGTTTTTGCTGTGCAGTAAGTAACGAGCAATGATTTTTCAGCCATTTATTTGGATGATTTGAAAGCTTCTTGATACTAGACTCCTGCTTGAACAGAACACACAAGGGTATTAGTTACGTTGATTCATGCAAGTGTAACGGATGAGCTGAACTGACATTCTTTGTTTGGTTGATGGGTGATCGAATGATTAAAAAAAAACATCGACTGATGCTATGAGTTCATTGCGATAAATAGGTGTGAATAGTGGAAGTTTATTCAACATCCGCATAAAGCTTTGGAATTTCCAACCAAAGCCATATAAATGTGAGATTTTACAGATTGTATATGTAGGGGAAATGCAGGTAATGTCGGCCTAAGTGTCCCTTATTTGGGCCCATACCTAAATTCAGCAATCGACTAAATTTTCAATAGCAACCAAAAATATCCATTAGTAACGTCCCAATAACGTGTTCATCTAGATAAAATTGATAAATAGCAGATTTTTAGCGATGGGCCCAATCTTAGATCCATAGGCCAACATTGGGGACATATCCTCTATGTTTGTATTTCAGCGTATTAATTTAATTGATGACAACAGTAACACGTGAGAAAAATTTTCATGTAATATACAAATGGAAATAAAGGTTGGAACGGTCAAAAATTGGTTAATCATGATTAAGTGAACACTGATTATGCTATTCAAACTTTATTTATTTTTAAAGTTCAATCACTACAACATATAGGAAAATTATTTGATTAGGCTTTAAATTTCCAAATGCGAACTGTCGGGCTTTACTTTTCACACCTTCCATCAGATTTTGTATGTATCAACCTTATTTAATGCTGAACGTCAATTTGGTTTGAACTGCTTCTCATTGCCAACTGTTTTATGAGTTTTCTTGAGGTTCCACTTAACGATTGCCTAATATTTTTCAGTTGGAAGCAGCTCTGACGAATTTGGAGGGTTTTTGTCTTTGGATACGACTTGCACGTGGTTGGCGATTTACCGTTCCTGAGCCATTTTCCCGTAGTAAAAGGAAGCTAGGTCTGGTCAAAATAATATGGAACAAATGAGTTTCTGCATAAAAATCAAAAATCGGTTTCGCAAACATTTATTTTTATAAATAGCTCGATTGGCAATACCAGTTGTGACGAAAATGTCGCTTTTCAGCCCACAGGTGAAAATCGCCTGCCAAACCAAATATTTTTTGAGGAGCTTTGACAACTTTTTTCGTTTAAACTTATCTTGAACCTTTTCTTTTTCTGTAGCCGTGTAAACTCTTGACCTGGGAGCTGCTTGAAATCCACATTGACGTTAATTTCATCGTTCATTATAACGCAATCAAATTTCTGACTCAATCAATTTGCGTGGGAATAATTTATGTTTCGCTTATGTGCGAGCAAAATTTGGATACGCTCCTCCATTTGCTTCGACGCCTTTTGACAACTGAATGGAAAATGAAAAAAAAAAAAAAATAGAGCCAACATTTTGTACACGCAGACCTACAAAATGAGGGGTGTTCAAGTTTTTTAAATGCACGATTAAAAAAAATCGCCAAATTTGAGTCAACCAATTTTGAGCGTTCCACCCTTTATTGAAAAAAAAAATATTTCTGTAATAAGTGCTCTATACGTCCCGATAGTGGTTCGATTATTGTTACTGACCTTTTACAACGCTAGATGGTGCGTTAAGCTTTTTTTTCGGTTCGCCATTGCAAAGTGTGGAAAAGGCATAAATGGATCATTTTCTTAACTGTCAGAACCCCAAAGATACAAAGTGCGCGGTGACTCTGTAAACAAGCACACTTCTTGGCAACGAGTTATAGCATCGCGACGCATTTTTCATCCTTGGGGTTCTATCAGTCAATATGATATATGTTATAAAAGTTTAATTTAATATTATTTCATACAGAACATAGACCATTTTTAGAGGTTTTAGATTGCCTCACCTCCCCACTCGTAGACAATCGTCCATAATTTATGTTTTAGATGAACCTTAGATACTCACCAAATCTCCCCCTCCCTCCTAAATTGTTTACGTGGTTTATAAACAGCCCCAGAGCAATTTGTTAATTCTAAGCTTTTTACGTGTCAGAAGCTAACGTGTTTCCAGTTCTGTACTAAGTGTTCTAGATGCACTTCCACAGTTATTAAAGGGCGAACACGAAATTATTACAACACATTCAACAGGGCATAACTTTTTACCATTGGGTAAAAATCAACCAAATTTTGCACACTTTTTCATTGATGTGTATTCTGTACATGCTGTCAAACTCGAAGTCGTGTTTTTCGATTCAACGAAAATGGAGGTGAACCAACGCGAGTTGAGAGAAAAAATTCTTTCCAAACACCTAGAATTTCCTGACCTGTCGCACCGGCAGTTGGGAAAAATGTTGAACATTCACCATTCAACCGTCTCCAGAGTGTTGAAGCGGTTCCAGGAGCGGTTGACGTTGGACCACGGCAAAGGAGCTGGAAGAAAACCGGGACCGGAGAACAAAAAGACGGAGGGAAAGGTGAAGCGGATGATTAAAGCAAATCCAACGTCTCAAGCCGTGATTTGGCTAAAAAGATCGGCATGACGCAGAGCTACGTCCAGAATGCAAAGAAGATAGCTGGACTACATACATACAAGGTACAGAACTTCCCAAACCGCGATGAGCGGCAACAATCGACGGCTAAAACTCGGGCACGGAAGCTCTACGAGAAGATGCTGACAAAATATGGCTGCTGTGTGATGGACGACGAAACGTATATAAAAGCCGATTTTAAGCAAATTCCGGGGTTGGAGTTTTTCAAAGACAAGAGCAAGTTCGATGTGGACGACAAATTTAAGAAGAAGAAAATGTCGAAGTTCGCCTCCAAATATCTCATTTGGCAGGTCATCTGCTCTTGCGGACTGAGGAGTGAGCCTTTCGTGACAAAGGGCACAGTAAATGGCGAGATCTACAAATCTGAGTGCCTCGAGAAGCGCCTTTTGCTGTTCTTGCAGCAGCACGACGAAGCTCCGCTATTTTGGCCAACATTTGGCATCATGCCACTATTCTAAAAGTGTCCTGGAGTAGTATGAGGCCAATTCTGTCCATTTTTTCCAAAGGACATGAATCCGCCAAACTGTCCGGAGCTGCGCCCGGTGGAGCAGTACTGGGCAATAATGAAGCGGGAACTTCGGAAGAGCAAGAAGACAGTCAAAGACGAGAAGGACATGTTAAGAAAATGGAAAAAAAAACTGAGAAACTGGTACCGGATGACACTGTAAAGACTTTGATGGAGGGCATCAAGCGAAAATGCGTTCAATTTTACACTCAAGGCTCCATCGATTAACTTTTCTTTTGATTTTTGAAGTAAATATATGTATAAAACTACCCTAAAATTTTGGTTTGATTCTAAACATTATAAGAAAATTGGCATGACATTTTCGGTGTCGCAATAATTTCGTGTTCGCCCTTTAATTGAGGGCTTTCTATGCCAACCAATAATCCATGAATTTGTATATATTTTTTAACGGAAATAACCAAGATGTGTCCGGATAAAATCCGTTTTAAAATTATCCTGGTAGAAAAAAAAGGGATAGAGATACCATTATCATTCATACTTCTTACGCCAAAGTCACGAGTTCAAATCTCACAAGTCACAAATGACCCCAGAGCGTTAAAGTGACTATAAAAAAAAGTATTTTCCACCCGGATGATGCGTGGATACCGAAAATAAATATCCGACGCTATTTTTGAATCCATTATGGTGGGCATCAGGGTTTTGAAAAGTGTCAAATACCCTAAAATATGTGCATTTTCTGAACGGGGACGATGCGTAGATGCCGAAAATCGATATCCGACGCCATTTTGGAATTCCAAAAATACCCATATTGATGGGTATTTGCCAGTATGCTCCACTCTTTCTTAAGCCGGAAACCGCCAAGGATAATCGAGTGTCATATGTAGCTAAAACTATTTACGCCACTGTAAGAATTAAACTTACTAAATTTTCCGATAAGACAGAAAAATGCATATCATGCAATTGCACTCAAATCAGTAGCATTCACTTCTACCATAGCCTTGTCAAACAGAATTATTAATTTACCTTTCCCACACCCAGAACAGCGAACCCGAATGCGTGGATCATCCCAAGTAACAATTTTGGTTTTATGAGGGTTCTGTAGACCATGAATTGGACTTGTAGAACGCTTTAAAACCTTGATAAAACTTGCAATGTTACTTGGGATGTTACATCTTTCAATACGCTAATAGCCTAGCACATTGACACCAATGAAACATATATAGAATTGTCACACCGATATAGGCATCTCACTTTGCTTACAGTATTTAAATATAAATTACACCATACTAATGCAACAATTTGTAAAATGTATTATGACAATAATTCCGTATATAAACCCAAGCAGCTCATAAATAAAGACAGATACTTTCGATCAAAGAATCACTTTGGATTGCGATCCTCTCCTGCCCAACTTG